CATCTCCTAACTCCATCACACTGGGCTACAGGTTTTCAACATATAAATTTCATAAGGGGAGGGGTATAAACATTTAGTCCGTGCCACCATGTTAGGTAACCTATTCACAGGTTCTAGAGATTAGGACACGTACACATTTAGGACACCATTATTTTGCTTACCAAGCCTAGTAAAAATAAAACTCAATTGTGTAATTACTAAATACTTTGGTCAGAACATCACATTTAAGGAGAAACATTCTAATGAATCACAGGGTTGTCAGAGGTAATAGAGGATGTCTAATGAAATTTAAATTTCAGATCAACCACGAATAATCTTTTAGAACATGTATGTCTCAGATATTGTACAGGATATGTTAAGTCAAAATGTAGTGACTGATTATCAGAAATTCGCATTAGCTGGGTGCTCTGTATTGTTACTAACTAAATCTGTTAACCCTAGTGATTGAGCATTAATAAAAACAGATACATGTTTATTCTAAGCTGTCCATCTGTGACAGCAAAAATAAAAATCAACATTTAGGTTACCTCACATGTCTCTTTGAAAAGAAGGGCTAAGTTTCCCTGATGTGTCACCATCCAAACTGCCCTGTCATTAGATCTTTTCAGTATCTCTTCAGTGGTTTATCACTATCTTTCTTTGAGCAACTGCTTCACTTGAATTATCCTCTTTAAAGCAATTGCTCCTCCATCTTAGATTCATTAAGGGGCAGGGGTTCGGATGAAAAATCCTATAATGCCAAGAGGGTTGGGGGATCTACAAAATAGCTAATCATATTCATTTTTGTACAGGTCTACTAGAAGAATTAAAAAAATATTTAATGGTAATTCTAGAGTTTAATATTTGAAGTAAAAATGACAATTAGTGGATTTAACAGGAGATTGGCTAAAGCAGCAGGAGATCTGTGGATTAGAATACAGATAATGGAAAATTTCCAGATCAAAGCACAGAGTGACATAATAATCAAAAATATACAAATTAGCCGAAAATGCATGTGAGAGCACAGTGAGAGGTGTAATATGTATATAATTCTGTTCCCAGGAGGGGAGGAGAGATAGGACAGAGAGCAGGAATTCCTGAAGGGATAATGGCTGGTGATGTTCTAAAACCAATGGAAGATATTAGCCCAGCTAGTCAAAAAGCTCTGCAAAATACAAACAGGATATGGACAAAGAAAACTAGACCTAGACTTACGAGAGAAAAACCTTGTTCCTTGGAAAAGTCTCCTCATTTGGTTTAAATATATTTAGAAAAGAGATCATGTGCTAATTTTGTTAGAGTTATGCAGAGGAACCTAATAAAAATAATGAACTAGCATCAGGGTGTAAGATATTTCCTCTTATTTTGTTTTTCCTATGATACTTCAGCACCATAGGATAGGTGTGATTTTCTTCATTTAAAGTCACAAGTTAGCAGGTTTAAAGAGTTAGAGTAAGAGGCAAGTTGACTTGGTTGGAAAGCAGTATGGCAATGTCCCAAATTCTGAGGTTATCCTGTTTTTCTTTTTACGTTCAAATTACTTAACTACAGCTACCATCCTTTATAAATTTAGGCAAATATTGAAATGTTTCTCAAGATTCTCAGTTGGTGCTTATGCTCACAATATTTTGTCCCAACGCCTACTTCCACCTTCTCCATAACCTCTTCTGTCCAATCCCACCTCACTTACTGTGGCAACCACTCTCTTGCTTGGCGACTTTGCACCACATATTACTGATTCTTTCCCCAGTTTCTCAAGATTTCAGAATCGCAAGGACATTTAGTGAAACAGGATTTTGTGAAAATTTGAAGGTAATGATATATGGTTACTACACAGAAGTGTCAAAAATAAAATTGGAAATCAGAATGCGCTTGTGAAACAGAATAATGACACATCATTTAAAATGAAGTCGGAGGTTGAGAACTAGACTTTTGCGGGTGAACATGATGCAGTCTATAGAAAAGTCGAAATATAATGATGTATACCTGAACATTCTGTAATGTTATAAACCAATATGATCTCAAGAAAAAAAAAATGAGTTTGAGGGGCAGAAATGAGAGCTGTCACACACTATTGCTTAACCTCAATTACAGGAAGAACTGTCAGTTACAGACCCCAACAGGAAGAGATGTACATTGCACCCCAACAGGAAATGGGCTAGCCAGCATCTCAGCCATGAGAACCATCACTAGCCTGAACTCTCACTTTCCACCAGTGGACTTTTGTTCAAAACAACCCCTCTGGACTCCCTTCTTTTTCTCTGTGAATTAACATTTCTCTCTTTGTTTGCTGGAATTGTCCATGGCTTTTGCTTATCCCCAATTACAATTCTTTTACTCTTCCCAAATAAACACATTTTGCTGGTGAAATAACTGGCTGTTTTATTTAAGTCAACACATTCTTGCTAAAGGTTTCCAGACATTCTTAGTTATTAATCTTTCCAGGCCATATCTTGTCATATTATAGACACAGACGTTCCTTTTGGAAGCAAAATCTCCGTTCCCTTTTAATCTCTAATTCCAGGTAGGAAACCAGAAATTTCTTTTATTTTAAGAAATGTAGAGCTACTTGCTCTTACTTTCTTTCATCTCTCTTTTACAGATGTACACAGGTGTCTTGCCTTTCAAGAACAAAATAACTCTTAAAGTGTTTTCTTAATTAAAAGAACAGACTCTCCCTGTATGAATTGTGTCATCCCTCCAGAACACAGGAATGAGTGACATTGTTACGGTGTCACTCAGGAACATGTTTGGGGTTTTATACTTCATCTCGTCTATACAGCCAAAAATGAATACTTCCGGACACCAAGAGAGTGACACATATATCATAAATAAATAAGCCATAAATTATTAAAATAAATGATTTAATCAAAAAAGGACCGAAAGTAGGGTCAGACCAGTGAATTGGAGTTGTGCAATTTTTGGGTCAGATCCTGTCTTTATATAAAATGTTGATTAACTTTTAATTATGGATTTTGTTGCACTGATTTTAGTTAAAATATTGCATTATAGGATTTATATTGATTACAGAATTTTTGGTAGCCCCTTTAACTTTTGTACCCACAGCGATTGCGTAGCTTTCCTCACCCCAGTCTTGACCCCACATCAGGTGCCTCTATTGGGTTACAAATATTTTTATTCGACAAGGTTGCATTTGTCTGTTCAATCTTGAGTCTCAAGTTAACCCAAGAGACTATTTTGGAGCTAAAGAGCATTTACCCAGAGGCAAATTATAGTTACGTTGTGTGCAGAGTTAATGTAGAGAGACAGAGATCTACTTACACACTCAGGCTACACCAACCCAACTCTAGATTTAACTACCAAGCCCTCCCAAGGAAGAGACAGCTGGGTGAGTGCAGCATCCTCCTTCTTCCCTGGCTGCCTATGGTGTCTTTCCTTTGGGAACACTAATCCCCATGTTCTATGCATAACTGTGTTCATTTAATCCCACTTTGAGGACTTGTTTTTCCATAGCTGATACTTGCATCCTCTGATGTCCAAATGGAGAAAAATGCTTTATCCAACTCAGCGTTGCCATCCAACTGATAGTAATTTATGGAGCAATGTCTCCCCTCAATGACTTCACATAAATGAATAAAAACAGATTCCTCACCCATAGAGTTTGTATAGCCCCACAGAGAATGAGAAGTGTACCAACACGTGTACAAGCCAGGGCTGAATAAGAAGCCCAAACCCAAGGAAGTGAGACAGTGGAGATCGTAGAGGAGGGAGGGGCTGCTTCCTGTGCAGATCAGTTATGGTTTCCTGAAGGAACGAGGTGGTGTTCCAGTGGGGACTGGATAAACGAGGTGCACATTTGAGGGTTGATGGGGACAGGTGAGGGCAGGAAGAGCAAACAGCATGTTACAAGACAGCACAGGCGCTAATTGGGGAAGGTCAGGTGACCTGAAGAGCACTGGACAGTCCCACTTTTTAGCCCGATAGTCAGTATGGGGGGCTTAAAGGGAATCCTCAAGGATTTTGGATATCAGCCGCTGTGATCAAACATCACACAACAACCACAAACACCAGAAGGCAAGATTATTTGTCTTTGAACAAAACTGTTTTAAGCTTTTTAAAATCTGGTTTGCAAATGGAGAAGTTTCTGATGCCACATCTGTCACAGAAGTTACTTTGCTTTCTTTTTTTTTTTTTAAAGATTTTATTTATTCATTTTTTTCCCCCCAAAGCCCCAGTAGATAGTTGTACGTCATAGGTTCACATCCTTCTAGTTGCTGTACGTGGGACTCGGCCTCGCGTTGGACGGAGAAGTGGCGCCTTGGGGCACGCCCGGGATCTGAACCCGGGCCGCCAGCATCAGAGCACGCGCACTTAACCACTAAGCCACGGAGCCGGCCCCTACTTTGCTTTCTTATTAATTGCTTCCTCAGCATTTTGACCCAGGCCAATCTGTCCCCTCCCTGGAAGACATGCAATGGGAAAGCATATGCCTCCATTCTGACGGCAATTAAAACAATTATGAGTTGAGTATAAACTAAAAAGGCAATAAAAAAGACAGAAGAGTGACAGAAATCAAAGTGCTGAATGAGAAAGATGCACTGCATCCTTCTGAGCAAATCCTCAGTGTGTTCCTTCCCAAGGCCACGGTTATTCTCTCAGATAGTAAGACGTGTAGTTTTCAGTCAGAAAATGGCACCACAGAGGTTCCAATGGGGCCTCACATTTCTAGAACAAGAACACCCTGCTCCATGGCCCAGGGACTGGGGTTTGCCAGGGCTCTGTGCAAGTTCAGCTCCCCCACGGCAGACAATCTCCTCAGCGTTGTGGGAAGTAGTTTCTCACACACAGGACAGTGGTTTCAGAATCAGACACAGCCAGCAGGCGTCTATTTTTATTGTTTTGATTTCCAAGTCATTTAGTTGAGGGTATATTTCAGTTGAGATGGGAGAAAAAATACAGATTAAAGGACAGGAATTGTTTAATGATAAGTTCATATCTAAGTAACCTACAATGAAAAATCACTAAAGTTAAAAATACTTCTTGTAATATTGTTTCTAATATCTGAGAATTATCTCAGATGTAGTTTGGGTCTCACACGTCCTTCACCCTCCTTCATTGTTTCCTTCCATCATCTCTGCCTCCTCATGTTGATTTATTCCTGTCTTCCTAACTCATTTTCGCTCCACTTTCCCTCCCTCCCTACTACTGTTCTAAGTGTTGTAATATAGTTGTAAACAAAATTGATAAAATAAGGGTTTTTCAATATAATTTCTATTTAACAGCTATCTTAGGCCCCAGCCTCACATTTTCTCTCTCTACCCGTCTTTGTATCTGCCTTTACATCTCTCCCTTTCTCTATCCTTCCCTCCTTCATACCTTTTATTCTATCTCTATAATGCCAAGGATAAAATAAAAGTTAGTCATCCAATTTTAAAGACTGCCTTCAATGGTCTGTCTCCCAGCTGTGAACTGAGAGTGGGACTTCCAGGAGTGTGTCCTCGAGGACCTCAGAGCTACAAAGACAGAGGCACAGGGGTGTTCGCCAAGGTGGGGGGGTCCCAATGTGCAGCTGGGCTTTGCCATTCTTGGGGAGTCTGTATTACCCAGAGACTCCAGCTTTTAACTATAAAGATTTATAAGGTGACATTCTGCATTTCTGTCCTTGGACAAAATCAAATTTCTTGCTTTTATGAAAAAGGAAAAGTCACATACCTGAGGCATCCTCTGTTATGCAGCAGTTTTAGTATGAGGAGCAGCATGGCGAGGAGATTTACAATCCATCTGCCTCCTTAAATTTGGCTGAGAAAAGGTTGCGAACTGTGCAGTAAAGTTCTTAAAGTCCTTCCCCTGGAAGGACATGGTGTCTCATTCTTATAAGCCATCCATACAGTCTATTTTATCTAAGAATGTGTGTAAAATAGAGAAGAAGGAGAAGGAGAGAAAGAGGAAGAGGGAAATAGAGATGGAAAGGAAGAGAGAGGTCGAAAGGGAGAGACAAGGAATAAAAGAGGGAGAGAAAGGGAGAAAGAGAAGGAGAGAGAGAGAGAGCTAGAGAGAGAGATAAGGAGAGAGACTCCATCCTATTCTTTCCATTTGCTCAGCCCTCTGTCCCCCTGGCTCACCTCACCTGGAACAGGCAACAGGAAGATAAAGAGCACTGCGAGGAGGAGATACAGGATAGTATGTATACAGGTTGCTCTTTGGTGTTAGTAAAGAGGAAGTAGTTGACATTTTCTAATTTTTTCTTAGTGTTGTTATTGTTCACTTGGAAATGATTTGTAAACTGTAAAGCCACCGTAAATATTATCTATCACCACTACTAGTTATGGGTTTACTACCAACTAATTAAGGTCGATCCTGTAAAAGTCTTTTTAATTTCTTTAAGCTACTCTTTTCTTATTTGTAAAATAGATCATGTGGTACATGTTGTGCTTCTTTCTGATGTGATATTTTTCAGTTGTTACATATTTCAGTGCATCATTGGATATGAATCCATTTGGCCCTAATTTAGACTCCGAGGTCATCCCCCATGTCTTCATCCCAGTTGGATCCACAGCTTGCCTTATGCCGTGTGGATAAAACATACTAGGAGGAGAAAGAGAAGGAATAGTAGCCTCATGAGGGAACACGAATTCTCTGGATTATAGGAAGAACTGGCCCTGTGTGATGGTGGCTCTTTCTTTAGTGCATATCAATGGGGGCAGGTGATCTTGAAAAGGTTCAAAACGGTCAGCTAGAGAGAAAAGATTCTATTCCTAATAAAGTGTTCAGTTAGGGCCCGGGTGTCATTTGAGAGTGTTCCATCTATGACACATAGTTACAGATCCAAGTTCCTAGAGTCAAAAAGGAAGAGTAAGTTCGCATTTTTTAGTTGATTCTCACTTCTGCTTATGATTCTAAGGTTTGGTGTTTTTTTTTTTCCTTTTGAGAAGAAAAAAACATTAAAATACAGAACTATTCTTGCAAGTCATCCATTAATTCATTCACTTCTATTGCATGTCTCTGACTCTATTGATTGTCAGCTTCCCCTTAGGAATACAAAGAAAACCCTTCTTTATACAAGTTAAAAAAGAAGGACTTTTGTCAATGGAAATGATCTTCTCTCCTTTTTTACTCACGAAAAATCTTTTTTTCTTGCTACCCATTTAAAACAAAGGTTCAAACCATTCTAGGCAAGCTCTTACCATTGTGAGTTCTTGCACTGATCACAACAATGTGAGACTTTGGGCCCAGATCATTTTTGAATACAGGTATTACATCAACGCATTCTTGTGGTAAACGAGTTATATAGCAAAGAAGTATATACAGTAAAACATTGACATCTCTCTCTGTCTCTTCCCTCTCTCCTTCTCAATTTTGCTTTATATTGTTTATATGTATCTCTTTTTCACTATACCTTGAACCTCTAAAGAACCAGGTCCTGTTTGGTTATCTTACATTCTCATCACCTTGAGCAGTTCCTAGCATAAAGAAGGAACTCAAATGTTCATTGCAATGAATAAGTTCCTGTATAGAAGATTCAATATAGGTATGAACAAATAAATTGATGAATGGAGGTAACAAATAAGCAAGAGAAGGAAAGAAGGAAGAGAAGAGGACTCAGGGATGCAGACTTCCCACTACATCTCACAATGGTGACTACATTAACAGTCAATACTAAAGTTGAGGAGTCAAAAGATAGATTTCTCCTGAGATGCAGACATCAAAGAAATCATTCAAGCCCTGAAATCAGCTGTGGTATTTGGGGGAAGAGAGAGAAAAGGAATTTCACTCAATAATTATAGAGCTTTGAAGTCATATAGAGCTTGCTTCAAAGTCTTGGCTCTGTTACTCATTATCAAAGTGATCATGAAATAACCTTTTAAAGCTTCAGTTTCTCCTTCTACACATTTGACTAGGGAGAGACTAAAAATGTCCTATGTCCTGTCTCAGGAAAAGGGACTTAGGAAGACTCAGTGCCTGACCAACATGTCTCTATGCAGAGTTGGTTTTTTACCAGGATCACTGCTGGGACTTTCAACTGGAACTGTAAGAAGGACTTTCTAGGCAACTTCTGTGCCCAGAAATCACACAAGAGTTTAATTTCTTCCATCAAGGCTAAAAGACCTAGAAAAACACTGAAATTTAAAACTTGAATGAGGCCAAACTGTGTTTTTTTGAGCCCATGGAACTAGAGGCTGACAGAGAAACTTTGGATAATGTTTGGAATGTAAGAAAGATGGTCTTAAAAAAGAACCTAGAGTTGTAGGTATGTATGCACAATTCCTTATGTAAGTTCACTTATTAAAGGCTATGATACTTTAATAAAGCTATATAATTTTATTAAAAATTCCTGAGCATCCTTTAACCTTACATTGAGTAAGAGGGATTGGGACAAATTCTTCTTGTGGTCCTATTATGTCCCAAGATCTTAAAAATGATATCTTAGTTCACACACTTGCCATGTGAGATAGGTATTTTCATTCTTTAAGCAAGTTAGTACAGGTGGCATGAGTAGTGATGGCATCTAGATTTCAACTCTGTCTATCCCTTATGAAATATTTTGCTTATTTTACAGTGTTTCTTGCTGAGAAAAGAAATATAGCATTTGCTGGATACGGGAATATACCTATAGTGAGATAAACATGTATGTGTGTGTGTGTGTGTGTGTGTGTGTGTGTGAGTTTAGATCCAGAGTGTGAGAGTGAGAGAATGAGTGTGGAGTGGATTATTATTGGAATTATAAATTACTCTTTCCTATCGAAGACTGATAGGATGTGGCATAAATTATTTGAGTAAAGGATGTTGCTTCCTGAGTGAGTTGACCAAATCATTGATCATACACACTGTGACACTTTTTAGAATGTAAGTGTATTATGATTACTAGTTATGCTAGAACTATAGGCATGAATAGGAGTGTCTCAGACAATCTGACAGAGATTGCCATCCTGTCCCTAAGAAAACCTCCTCCTCAACAAGCACAAGTTTCTTTGCTGAACTTTAGGCAAAACCTTGGAGTTGATGATTCTCTCTCCAATAGTCTTTCTATGTGACTCTGGAAATGTCCAACAACACATTGACTGAACAGAAGGGTCTCCTAGGAGATGGTGATTATCAATGTCAGTGGCTTATCTTTGCAACTCGTTCTTTACCCATTTTCTTCTCTCTGCCCAGAGATTATGGCAGGATGGGATTTGGAAAGATAGCAGTACCTTCTTACATTTGGAAATCTTGTCAACTTAATTAGTACACAAGTCTGATTTTATACTAAGGGTAAACACACTCTTACTTCTAACGATGTGCTACCTTTCACAAGGCTATACTAATACAGATAACATCAACACAGATTTATGAGTCTGAGAGGAAACTTGAGAGGACTTTCCTGCTTCCCATTCTTGGTGGGACAAACCGATCCAACATCACTTAGAAAATCCTCATCACACTGAGATAACATCAAATCATTTTTTGGAACAAGCCTGAGGTATCCATGAATGACTTATTTGATATATTGGCCCAACCATGATCTCTGGCTTTTGAGAGTCTGGTGAGGACACATTTTCCTCTTTGTTTTGGTGAGGAAGATCAGACCTGAGCTAACCTCGAATGCCAATCCACCTCTTTTTTGTTATTTATTTATTTTCTTTTTTGGTAAGGAATATTGGCCCTGAGATAACTTCCATGTCCACCTTCCTTTACTTTATATGGGACGCTTGCCACAGCATGGCTTGACAAGCGGTGCATTGGTGCACACTCAGGATCCTAGTCTATGAACCCTGGGCTGCTGCAGCAGAGCACAGGCACTTAACCACTTGCGCCACCAGGCCAGCCCCGAGAACCCATTACTTTGCTTTATCCTAGAGTGTTTCTGTGTGAGCAGCTACACCCACTCATCCCTCCACACCCTCAGTCTGTCACTGATCTCACTTTCCACGAGCCACCTTTCCTCCGACTTAAATGAACTAAACATGTTACTGATGTGTTGTCTCTGTCCAGACACAACTTAGCAATAAAATAGATCTGCTTTTGAATCTTAGGATCAGCTTTTGAAACTTGCACTAAGTAGACATCTAATTTAGTTCAGTGATATTGATGCAAATATAGAGGAAGCACTTGTAGTAATCTGTTTAA